TTTAATCAGGAGCTCTGCGTCATTTGCGGCGCAGAGTTTATCGTCGACTTCACCAGCTTTGACAACTGCAAACGTGGCGGGTAAAGGCAAGCGTCCCCTTCCTGGACATCCGTACAGGTTTTCGAAAGCAAGTACTGCTAGTAAGAAGACGAAAAAGGTAGAATCAATCCCAAAGAGTGTGCATTTGCTTGACGAGCCGGATGAGGATGAGGATTATAGTCTTGCAGATTCCATGATTATACTGAAGGGAGAGTGTGATCTCGTCACTGATGCGGACGAAAGCAGCATTCGATCGGAGCTGGTTAAACTGTTTAAAACCAAACTCCCTTACATTTCAAATAATGATTTTGACTTTGTAAGACGCGATCGGAACACTATCTCCAAGCCCCTTGTAAAAGCTGATCACGTTTGGGATTTTAAACATGTGAAACATCTAAGTGGAACGGGGCGATTGTATGTCCGTCTAAATGTCTGTAAAGACACTCTTATACCCGACGAAGGAGACACAGAGTCTCAGCCGCCAAGTCCACCACCTGCCAATAATTCATCTTTGAAAGGTATATTATAAATGCATGTGTATCATTATTATGAACATTTCGGCTTTTTTTTATATATATTTATTTCATATATTATTTTATATTTATTTCTTGGGGAGCATGGGTGGCCTAGTGGTAATGCACTGACCTGTCACCACTGTGGTCATGGGTTCGTTTCCCGGTCCGGGACTATATGTGATTTGGGTTTGAAGCTGGTTCTCTCCCTTGTTCCGACGGTTTTTCTCAAAGTACGCTGGTTTTCCTCCCCCTATCAAAAACTAGCTGTGAGAAGTGTTGTATGCTAAAATAATTAATGTGGAGTTAGTGAGTGTGAGAGAATATTGATGGCCCAGTGTAAGATTAGTCTCTCTGACAGGTTTCCTCTGACAAAACTGGTTACCATCACAAAAACAAGGTTTATTATTAAAGCAAGGTTTATTATATAAGAAGCAATAACAAACACACACGCATGCTTTTTTTTTTTAATATTATCCTTTTTTTTACAACTTTATTTATTTATTTGCAGTTAATACAGATATTTACAATTAATGAGTTAGGTACTGATATAGCACTAACTCTAGAAGTATATTTGATATATTTACATGTATATAGTGTATTATTCTATTGATTACATAATTTAAAAAAACAAATAGCACACAACTACAAAAGGAAAACAACTACAACAACAAATAAAAGAAATACAGTCATGAATGTACTAAAATCAAATATATCTATAGCTTTTTTTAATTTCTGCCACTTTTGTAAATGTTGAGTCATTTTTCCTTTGTTCACTGCAATTCTATATTCAATCTTCTCATAGTGTTTTAGGATATTTACAAAGGACCTTAGTGATGGAATTTTTCCGTGTTCTCTTGCTTTGTACAGGGATAGTTCAAATATAAGAATAATAAAATTAGTAGTATTCTTTTCGGTACCTAAAATTATATTGAAAATATTCATTTGGGGCAGAAAAATGTCGTGTTTTTCAAGCCAATTTCGAATTTCAAAATAATAATTTTTAGTCTCAATACATTCTACAAAAAAATGATCAATAGTCTCTGGATGTGTCATACAAAAAGAACAAGAGGAGTATGGTACTAATTTAAATCGACATAGGTCGTAATTGAGGTATAGACAGTTATTTAAAATCTTATATTGGAATGTTCGAAGATAGGAATCAATTGTCGTTGTGAATGTTCTTCTATAAACGTTTTTCCATTCAAACTGGGTTGTATTGATATCTTGAGATAATCGTTTGGTTATATTTTCTTGGGATGTTGGGGATTCCACTTTATTGCTTAATATCTGTTTATAGATTTGTGCTGTTTTAGTCATTAAAGAAAGTTTTTTCGACAGAATTGGATAAAATTTTGATTCGCTTTTTATAGTTTGTAATTTTTCTGAATTTATATCTCTAAAATGTTTTTTCGATTCCGCGGGTATTGCATCTATCAAACCTGCCCATTTTAAAAAATCAGTATTTTTAAGGCCAATATTTTGTGCGTGTTCCCAATTGAATTCTCCTTTATCATTACAGAGATCAGCAATTCTATTTATGTCAAGATCGGAGAAAGCTTTATAGAACACCGATTTACCATTGATTTGAATTTTTTTATTATTCCAGATGTACTGGTTTTCATTGCGAGTTGAATTTTCTATTAATCCAATCCAGCTTAACAAACATTCCTTATATATGCCGGGTAAGTTCTCCGGGATTCTTTTTTTGTCAAAGTTTTGATTTATTTGCTTAAAACCACCTATGTGATTGAGGTATAAGGAAGGTATGCAATTTGACAAGGCGTCTGGATTCCTAATTATATCGAGAATTCTTTTAATTTTTAATGCTTCTAGGAAACTTGGAAAATCTATCATTTTAAGACCACCTTCTTCATAGTCTGCTATTAAAGTTTTATGCTTGATTTTTGGTTTCTTACCGTTCCATATAAAATCTTTCAATTTATCCTCAATAGATTTTACGAATTCCTTTCTTGGGCAGAGTTGTGAGCAGATATAGTAGAGTTTAGGTAATGCCAAAGCCTTCAATACTTGAATTTTTCCAATTATCGTAAGGTTTCTCGTTTTCCATATATTCAAAGTTGTTACAAAGTTTGTATAGATACGTTCAAAGTTTTGTTTATAACTTTCTGTATCGTCATACGTAAAATGTACACCTAAAATTTTTACCCCTTCTTTAAAAAGATCTATAACCTTAATACCCAACTGCTGTAAGTCTTGTAGGTTTTTATCATTTTTTGTTGCATTTTCATTTCCTATCCAGCCAACTTCGGATTTTTTCTCATTTAATTTTAATGATGAAAAGCTACTAAATCTTTTTAAGTCTTCGAGTACACATTTTAACGAATCTATATTCTTTAGAAAAAGGGTAGAGTCATCCGCGAAGAGGATGCATTTTATCTCTTTACTATCTACTTCTAATCCATGCACCTCTTTATTATTCCGTATCATGATAGCGAGTATTTCCAGTATCAAAATGAATATGTAGGGAGAGATGGGGTCGCCTTGTTTGGTGCCCCTTTTCACTTCAAAGAAATCTGTAACTTTTCCATTATTAATGATGCAGCTTTGATTATTTCCCAGGAGAAGTTTAATCCATTTTATAAAATGCTCACCAAAACCATATTGTCTTAGTGCGGCNGCTTAGTATTTCTGCACTCCACAATCTTCTCTTTGCGCCAGTAAAACCTCTTTCGAATATATCGGATTGTGAGTCAGAAACTAGCGCCTTATCATGCAATACTGATGTGGATATAGAATAGTCAGAATCAGACGAAATTATGGCGATTCYGGATAAAAAAAGATAGCTAAAATAATGCTGAAGTGATCGACATAGAATCGCGGCAGTATATCAGACCAGCATTGAAGACCCTTTTGACTTATATAAACAAACTCTTGCTCGAAGAGAAGTGTATAAAACGAGATGTGAAAAGTATGCGTACGCAAACTCTTGTCTCAAAAGATGTAAACAAAGAAACAGTAAGCTTAATGYGAGTCTAGCGGCGCACAGAACATGAACAGAAAATCGTTGTTGTTTAGAAGCTTAAACTGTTCAAGGGAAATTAGTTTTCGATGGGTGTATAGAACCTCAATTCTGTAAACCAACACTTGGACTGTACTTGAAAATGCTGCGTATTGACTCAAATACACGAATTGTTACTAACCACTAAAAAATGTCTGCTTTAATACAATGAACCCGGCGACGCCAGCCCGTGTTTAGATASATAGATAGATAGCTTTGTTTAAATCTATTTGTACGACAAATTGGTGTGTTGTTCGCCTCCTCCTGAGGGCTATGTTGGTGGACTTGCGCGGAGGTAATAGGCTATACAGCTTATGGTTACTGTCATCATTAATTTCTTTGAAGAGCTGCTCTGTCAGGTCTTTGCGCCGTTGGTGAAGGGTCGTCATGCTGTGTTCATTAAGAGCTTGCTCATAGTTCAGGGCTGGTGAGATTATCTTAAGAGATCGTCYCTGAATTGTTTCTAGCTCTTCAGAGAGGTAGCGAGGAAGACCATCATGGAAAGTCTGACACGCATATTCTGTTACAGGTCTGATGCAGGTTTTGTAGAAACACATCAGTTGGTCAGGAACGGCGTTAGCACGTTTAAGCTGTCTTAATTGGTAGAGCCTGGATGCACATTTTTTGGTGACGTTCTCAATATGGGCATTCCACTTAAGATTGTTTGAAATTGTAAGGCCTAGGAGCTTTGCACTAGGTACGACCTCAATTGGTTTGCTGTTAATAGTAACTGGTTCCAGGGTGTTTGCGTTTCTCGAGAAATGTATTTGTAACTCTTTACACTTGGATTCATTCAACTGAAACTTATCTGCTTTGGCTTGCTCGACCAGTTCATCTACAGCAACTTGGATTTCACTTGGTTGGCCTTTGTGCACTGTCTCAGCGATCYAAGTGTCATCTACGTACTTCCAGAGATTGACACTGCTGACATCAATGTCATTGATCATGACTAAAAAGAGCCAAGGTCCCAATTTCGTCCCTTGTMGTACACCAGCTTTGARTGAACCCCACTCCGAAAAGCAGTCGTGGGAAAGCTTTACCCGCTGTTTCCTATCAGTCAGGAAGCTAGCAATCCAATCCAGCACCCAAGGTGATAAGTCGTAATCCTGAAGCTTGGTCATGAGGATGGAGTGATCGAAGAGATCGAATGCTTTCTAAAGTCGAATAACACTACACGCACTGTCGATCKATTYCCATCCGTATCTTTGTACCAGCTGTGTAGCATGCTAATTAGGGCAAGCGTGGTGTTAGAGTTAGGGATAGTTCCATATTGGTTCTTGTCGATTTTTGCTAGAATGGCAGGTTTGATATAGCCATCAATAATGAACTCCTCCCCAACTTTAGAAAGGATTGGTGTCAAGGAGATGGGTCTCAGGTGTTTGTTGACATCCGTTACAGGAGATGTTTTTGGGAGAGGTGTAATGTCAGCTGATTTCCAAGAACTTGGAACGCGACGCTCACGGAAGGAGGTGTTCAGGATATCGGTTACAGGTGCCGCTAAAATGTCTGCGTTGTCTCTTAATACCCAAGCTGGGATTCCATCTGGACCAGACGCTTTGTTGGGGTTGAGAGACGATAATTTCTCGATGACTGAGAGTTCAGACACGGGACGAGGAGAGTCTTCAAGGTGCGAGTTCGTAGATGTATTCAGAACAGGCGTGTCCAGCGGGGTGAATACACTCATTGGCGATAAGAAACTGTTGTTAATTGCATTAGCTAAAAGCGTAGGGTCTTCTCCTTCCTCAGCAAGGTGTTGAAGGTTAGTGATAGAGTTTGTGTTTTCTACTTTAGAAAAACCACTAAGTTGTTTAATTTCTTTCCACCACTGGGCAGGCTTACAGTTCTTAAGATCTTTTACTTTTGCTTCATAGTATTTTGCTCGGCACGCTTTCCTTTCTCTGTTCACTTTATTTCTTAGCTCATTATACTCCTTCAAATTTCCATTTTTCAGAGCAATTTGACGATGTCGAATGAGTCGCTTAAGAGAGTTATTCATCCATGGTGCTTCGTTTGCCGCTATCGTTTTCTCTTTCAAAGGCAAGATCTCATTCATACCAAAGGTGATAACCTCTTCCAAAATTTGAACTTTATCTTCAGAGGACGTTTTGCTATTTACCATATCAGAGATGTTAACCTGTTCCAGGTAAGAGCTCAGGGCAGCCTTTTGACTTTCCCGCTTGTCTCTCGTGATAATTGTTCGTTTGGTTGGAAGACTTTTGCTGCGAGATAACGGTTGGAGTTCAACTGATAAATGGTCTGACAAACCAAAGGCTGGGCGCTGGATCGGTTCCTCGTAGAGATGTTTAATGTTTGTTATAACGAGGTCTAGTGTTTGGTTTCCACGGGTATGGAATTTGACGATCTGTTTCAGCTTAAAGGCGTTTTT